AATTTAGATCTAAAACACTTAAAATCTAAGTTTGAAGCATTAACTAAGTTTGAGAATAAAAACACTTCAAACCTAAGCCTAGAACATCACCTAGATCTAAAAGCTGAAAAACTATAAATTAATTAACTACAGAATCTGAGATCTAAAACACTAAGAACCTAATCCCGGAGCATCGCCCGGGCCTTATAGCTAGTATTATACTATATACAATATATAACTATATTTATAGTGGTATAGTTTCATTAGAAAATTTTGAACATCAAATATGTTAGATCTCTTGGACACTATTAATTTAATTATTCGATTAATAATAATATATTTTGAATGTGTTAAAATTTTCCTAGAGTTTACTAAATAAGCTTTTATAAAGAAAATTTAAAGCTTTACAACAACGATTTTTGACTCTGATAATTTCATATCTCCGAAGAATGCTTTAACAACTCATTCGAAACGAAATGGTTTACAAATAGAACAATCAGAGATCTGGGATAAAGTAATTTTATGAGAAAAAAAATAAAACTCAATGCCTACCAACAGATCACGAAAATAACTATCTATATTTATATTATATATTTTCAAATCCCTAGTACAGTAGTAACGAAGTCTTGAAGAAAATTGAAACTTATAGTACTATTGAAAGTTTGTATATTTAGACCGAGATATGCACATGATTTTAATTTTACCCAACCGTACAAAGTCATCCCCAGGGTAGCCACTAAAAATGCTGTGACACTAGTGATGCAGGCGAATAGCTGTAACTTGTCGTAGCTACAGCATTTTTACCAAAACTTAGCATAGTTATTACATATTATAGAGATGCTTACAAGTTACCTGCATCTCTATGTAACACATTTACGTAATTGCCTGCATCAACCTAATTCAGGCCGATGATCAAATTTCTAATTTGACCGAAAAAAGGGTCAGCTAAGCGGAGTTAATATATGATCTCATACTGCATAAATTACATTTTTGCCATCTATATAACCCACAACCCCTAAAACCATCAAAAAGGTAACTCTAAATCTCGCTCCGTTTTAGCCGACTACCTAAAAAAGAAAATTAGTCTTTTCGTTGTAAAATTGGTTTGGCAATATATTTTTTTTACTTATGGACAGTTGTGGTTTCATTAGCATTAGCGTAGTACGTAGAACTTTGCATAATTCGGGCTTGGCTACGCCAAAAGTCACGTTACATCGCTTCTCTAGATGATTCGCAACAATATAGCTCTCCGATATTACAAAATATCGACCTGGATTGATCAACGTTCAAAAATTTGTCATTGCAAAAATTTATATGGGGATAGTTATTGCTATTTACAAGTGAAATCTTTCACAAATTATACCGATACGATAATATAACTGGTATCATGATTGGTTTAAAGGTTGATAAAACAAATGAAATACATGGTTTTAATTCTTTCGTATGGAAAATTTAAAATGGAGGAAACACATATTGCTAACATAACAAATAGTTTTATTTCTCCTCTGAAAATGAAAGATTAAAAGTCTATTTATTTTCCGCATACTTTATGCATCATACGGAATTTGAAAGGTCAAATATCACAAGAGCCATAGTTTAGTAATGATCTTGGAATGGGAAATAACAGTACGTATCATTAATCTTAAGGAATGAAATTGTGCATTATAATAACGCAATTAGGAATACAACATATTTGGTTTTAAAAATTATTAGGCATGTAATCTTCTAATATTATCCTCTTATCTAGAAAGTTAGTAATGATTGGACAGGCACTGAATAGCAGACAGTTTATTGTTTTCTTAAAAAATTAAGGAGTGAATCAATTTATTTTTAGCTTCATAAGACCACATTAAATGCAATTCGTTATTGTAAAATATCACAAGGTCTAAGGTCTATAGGATTGGTTGTAATCTTGGAAGTAAAGGATCTAATTCTAATCGTAAAAGAATAAAAAAAATGGATATTAAAAACCAATAATAAACGTAGATCAATGGATTCAGTTGATGAACTACTAATGTGAATCAAAATTAGTATATTTATATGTACAGAATTTTGTTTAATCCGTAATTACAAGATAATAAAAAACCGTTAATTTCAATAGCTTTTAAATAGTCACTGAATCTATTTGGTAGCGTCTGCTACTATGTCGATAAACCTTGCAGAAAAATAAGGTAGATAACGTCAAATTTGCTGCTTATTATTTATCTGTTTTTGATATATCAGCATTTATTGATACCAGATTCTTTAATTATTAAAAATAAATTCGTAAGGTCTGAATTTAAATCCTTATGGTTTAGTGATCACAGGGCTGATGCTTTTTTGTGACATGGTAAAGTTTCATGTCCACAATTGGAAAATTTCGAAAATTTCAGAATGATAATAGCCCTAGAACATAAAATACGAACAAGGTCTTTGAAGAGTTCTTTGAATTTATAATTGTAAAAAATTCGGTAATTTTATAACGGATATCGATATCCGAATTTTCGAATAAAAGGTATCAAATTTAGATGGACACAGATTGCGGATTAGCAATCTGCTAGTAATACCAAATTTCTATTCGACTTTTTTTTCTCTTTAATTTGTTCACAAAAGACGTTATATACATGTATATTTTATTCAATCGTAACAATAACAAATTTACTCGTATTTCACTTTAAATCTTTTTTTACACATGATAATCACCAATTCAGTGTGCATTCCACCACAATGCATACATTTTTTTACGATAATATTTTTTGTTTGGTTTTAATGCTTGTTTAAATTTAGCTTTCGCTCTCGTGCCCAAACAAAAAAGTTAGAGTTCACCTTAATTTAAAATTTAATTTAATAAATATATGTGCGTATCTTGATTTTAAGTAAAAATGATAAATCGAAACATAATAATAACATAATATAAATAAACAGAACAAAAAAAATAATAAAATAAAGTGAAACTAAATAAACTTATTAAATCAGACATCCATTTGTGAACTCCATAAAACCTTACATGAAAATATAAATGAATAATCAATAATGAATGTCCCTGCAGGTTCATACGAATCAAGTAGAAATTGAATAATCAATAACCATAATAATCTGATAGGTCCATTTGGTAGAGTTAAGTGATGATTAGAAAATATAAATATAGATGCATTTCCTATAAAAATATTCAGCATTCATTGATGCTAAGTTTCTCCTTACGAATAAACTATACATCCAAATAAAAAATACAAAATAAATAAATAAATAAATGATAGAATGAAGCTTTCTGCTTTAAAGTCAATCGTTAATTTGTAGTAAGTAAATCGAAATTCATTTAGTAATCGTAGTAAATGCTCGTCAAAATTCATCGATATTGTTAGTCGATATCAATTTGTCAAAATTTGTTACATAGTATCAAGACTCGTTCATTTTTAGGATTCAATAATTACAAATTCCTGAAAGTGCATAAATCGAGCTTTGAGTTAGTAAACATCAACAAATTAACAAATTAAATGTTGTGCCTTACTATAAAAAATTCTGCAAAGAGTACTGGGCAGGTCATCGCATAACGACGGTAATGTAATATATATTGACGTTAATTATATGATCAAACATAATAAATAAAAGCTAGTGTGATAGATTAAAGTCTATTTGACCCCTGAATCGAGTGTCAAAGAATTTCATTTGATGGGAAATTTTAACTTGCAGAGATTTTTACAAAGAATTTTACTAATTATGTAAAACTGATTGAATATAGCTATATATAGTGGAAACCTTAATTTATTTATTCTATCATGTTGCTTTAATGGTTTTTTTGATTGGTCAATCTCATACTGCTCAGAAAATCTGGTCACATGATAAGTAGCCAACAAAAAAATCGGGAACTTTACGCCTAGAAAAAAAAGTACGCATGTACATATGTACCAACAGTACGTAATTTCGGCGAAGCCTGACATAATAGAATTTCAAACAAATTATTAATTAACCAATCATGAGAACGCTATCATATATTTTTTTGCTTAGGTTAATTAAATTTCCCGAATCTAATAAATTTAATAATAAAAGCAATGTTATCTATGTAGATGTACGTAAAAAGATTAAAATTTTTCTGCACTACCATATTAATTACACTATAAATTACCATTAAATTTAAAGAATTACCTAACATAATCTTTCGGAAACTAGATTACGGAAATTACGTAATAATTATTTGTACGAACTTACACAATATAATCCAAAATAATTTAAAATATAATAGAAAACAATCCGTTAATGTCTGTGCTGTTCATTTTATTTACTTGTGCCTATATTACAGCATTATCGAACCCAGAAAACTTTACACTAATCATAACTATAACTGTTGAAAGATAATCCAAAACAAACTAAGATTAGGTACGCACGTACAATACTTATGTACCAAAATACAAAATTATATAAATCAACATTAACAATAAAAAATTGAAATATCACGCTATAGTACTGCAGCACTACAGTACTACAGCACTACAACACTACAGCACTACAACACTATAGCGCTACAGCACTGTGCTACAGCACTGCACTACAGCACATGTGATGAACAAAGAAAGCTCACGTTATTTTGTCCCTAAATTTAGATTAAATCATCATCTACAAATATATAAATATATCCGATGTTGAAATTACTCAACAATTGTCTGACACTTTATCTCCGAATCAGCGCTACAATTAGTTTAATTTGATGGGCTGAGTCTTTTGTACCGAATTTATTAACGATTGTCATTTGTTGTATGTATGTAAATACATGTATATTGCATCTTTAACGTTTCAGATAGTTTTTCCTATCTTACATTTATCTCACATTTTATCTCTGTACGTAGTTCAATCGTTTTTATGATTATTATAAGTTCGGAAATTTAATTCTGTTCCGTGTCTCACAAATCTAACTATTTATGTAAATATGTTACCTATTTCTTTTTTATATACGATTTATATCGATATTTACGAACAAGTTTAACCTGATCATTAAAAATACTTCTTTATTAACTTTACGATAATTTTTTTTCTTTTTCAATGTCATAATGTCTTTACGCAAAAAAATTAATCAATGTGGAAGTAAAAAAGCAAAATTTCAAATTGGAATTTGTATTTTTCCTACTCTTCCACCTGAAATGTTTATAAATATATGTCAATACTTACCACCAAAAGATTTACTTTCATTAGCTCAAGTTTGTAAATTATTCAATGGTTATTTATGTTTTGAATCTTCAACTACTACTCAAGAAATTTGGAGAACTTCTAGATGTGAATTCTTACCTTTTTTACAAATGCCTCCACCTGAAGGTATGACTGAACGTCAATATGTTAAACTTGTATTAGAAAGAGGTTGTCAATTTTGTAAAAAACCAAAAATTCGTAAAGTCTATTTTGAATTTTTGGTAAGATGTTGTGAAGATTGTTTAAAATCAAAAACTATAAGGTAATTATAAAACTATATTTATTTATTATTATAATTATTAAATAATTTATTAATGAATTTTAATAAATTTTTTAATTTATTAAAATTTATGTAGAAGAGATCAAATTGAAGAAATTATGCCAGAACTTTCTAATCTAGATGATATAATCTCTGGTTTACCATTCATACCTTCATGGTCTAGACGTGATTGGGATAATGATACTGATAAAAATCCATCAAGTCTTTATTGGAAATCTGATGTTATTGAAACATTAAAAGAATATATTTCTATTCCTGAAAATCCATCATCATTTCGAGAAGATTGGTTAAATCAGAAACAAAAAGAAGGTGATGAAAAAATGAAAGACATTATTGAACGTAAAAGAGAAAATAACAAAGGATTAAGGGAAAAAAATATGAAAAATTCTCAAAAGAAATTTGAACGTTCCAATCTAATTAAAACAAAAATTTTATTAATGAAGGATGAAAAAAATGAAAATAATTGTTTGAAATTTGACAAGGATATACTTGAAGATTGTCAAACTTATAAAAATTACATGTTTATGTTCCAACGATCTGCTCTTCCATTTACTGAACGTGCTTGGTTACTTTTAAAAAATAAATTATTAAAAGAGTACGAAGATTCTTATGAACGTAAAAGACAACGTCGTAGAGAAAGGGAAAGATCTTGGTCTAGAGAAACTGTTTTTCAAATGAGGCAATATGATATTTATCTTTTAGCAAAAACTTGGCTACCCGAATCTGTAAAATCATCCAAATCAGTAGATTCTTCTGAATTACTCACATCATCTGATATCGAAGTTCTCAACACATCTGATATATCTAGCACATCTAGTACATCGAACGCATCTAATGCATCTAACACACCTACCGTATCTAACACGTCTAATGCATCTAATACATCTTCATATTCTGCAAGTTCAGTGGTCACCTTTGTGGAGGAGCCGGATTCAATTTCAGATGTTACTGAAAATTCTGTTACTGTTTCTAATGTTCCTAGTGTTCCTAGTGTTCCTAGTGTTCCTAATCTAGTCTCTGAAAATTTCTCAAATATAGATATTTTACCCATCTATACGTCTATTACGGATTTTACATATGCCACATCTGGCTTTTCTGATTATGTTTATACAAACTCTTATGATCCTTCATTTGTGCCTACGAACTCTTTTACTATTTCTCAAAACTCTATCATTAACGATATAAATGATTCACATTTTTCTACAAGCTCATTAAATTCTACTTTAAATTCTTCATTCAATCTCGAAGATTCTACTAATATGGATCAATTTTCATTACTTTACAAATATCTTCCTTGGTGTCCCTCATTTAAAAATCCTCCTTTTCATAATAACGATCCTTATAATTTATGGGATAATGGATTTTTACAAAAAACTTTAATGCCAAGAATTTGGAATGAAGCTTTAAATCTTAAAAAAACATTTTCTTCTTTCTCAAGTAATGATTCAATTACTTCTAACAATTTATCTGTTCAAAAAGCTGTTCTTTGTAATATGAAATCAAATAATATATTTCAATGTAAATTATGTAAACAACATTTGTTCAATTTTAATTCTTGTTATTCATCTTTATATACAAAAACTTTTCTCTCTTATTCTGAACCAGTTTCTTATTTTCATGTTAGACGGCATTTATATAATGATCATAAAATATTTCATATTTTGGACGATCAAATGATTGATGTCGTCTTTAAGGGTTTTATTAATCATGGTTTTACTAGTACTGTCAATACTTTTATCCGTTTGGATTGTGTTAAAAGTTTAAGTTCTGCTGGTTATAATTTTTGGTTATTAGATGGGATTGTTAATTTTTAAAATAAAATTCAAAATTTTTTTTCTTTTATAAAAAATTATTTGTGGTTAAACAAAAAAATCTATGCAATATTCTGTCATTTATCTTGTATATTTCTTAAATTTTATTGAATTGCAAAAACTTTACGTTATTTCATACAAATACACGTCTTTGTTCAGCATTTCTTGCTTACGTAATTAATTGTAAGATCGGATCCGTATTATAGATAGAGTCAAATTACTCTTCTTAATAAGAAGATTTGCTGAAATTGTTGGAAATTGGTTTTTCAATATTAAAAAATAATTTGAATTATATTAAAAACTTAATTAACTTAAGGGTAGGGGGCACGTTGATCAATTTATATAGTCATGCATGGTATATTAAAATTTTCATCTAAAATTAATATATGCTATTAATAAACTTTTTTATTTTTTTATTAATTAATAAAAAAATTTTATAATATTATAAATAAAATTATTTATCTATTATAGTAAAGTTTTGAAATATTGTATTATTTTTTAAAAAATATACTTGTATATATAATAAAGTTTATTTAGATGGGTTAAAATTTCCTTAGATAGTACAAAAATGATGAATTTAATTGGTTAATTTATGTAAACCTATTAGTTAATTTTATTTTATAATTTTATATACTAATCTTTAAAATTTTATATTTCAATGAGTTTTTAATCTATTTTAATAATTTTACTATCATTGAACTCAGAAAGACCTACTCTACAACCTTTACTTAATAATTAAATTTAGTTTATTTAATATGATTTTTTATAAAATTAAATATAAAAAAAATTTACCATTAGGTTTATATATAATTTTAAAATACTACTCTTTATCCTTAATTAAAACTAAGTTAAATCAAATACAATAGTTGCTTTTAGGTTTATTTTACTAACAAATTAAAAATGTTAAAATTATTATTGAGTTAAAAAATTTAAAAATGAATTTTTTTCAACTTATAGAAAGAGTAGAGATAGTAATATATGTTTAATTAGAAAATTTTCTGCTTCTGGGTAATAAGTTTTGTTATAGTCAATTATAGTTTATTTAAGAGATACTTTGAATTAAAATCAAATTTTATAAAATATAATTATTCAAGTTAATAAATTTACATCAGTAGTAGAATCTACAATTTTTTTAAAAGTTTTTTCTTTGAATAACTCTTGAATTTCATTATTTTTTACTGCTATATATAGATTTTTTTCAAATATTAATAGAAATAGTATACAACTTAGTCAATTTAATTACTAACATTGTTAAATAATGTGAAGATTTTTTAGTTAATGTAGCTAATTTTCTTAGTTCAATTATAGTTGTTAGTTTTGAAAAGGTTGTTGCTAATTGTTAATCTAGTTGAAATATTTTAGTTTTTAATAAAAGATATTCTTATTCTTTTGAATTAGATTCTAATACTAGATGAAATTTAAATAATTAAAAGAAATAAAATATAAAAATGTTTTTAAGATTGTGTTCTATATTATCTAACAAGTTATAAAATTTGCTGTAATATTTATAAAAGTAATAAAATGTTGTTTTAAAAATAACTTTAAAGTATTCTTGAAGTGTAAATATTATATTAGAAAGTAAGTAAGCTTCTAGTAAAAGTTCTTTGCAGTCTTCAACAAGTTTTTGGTATATTAGTATTTTGATATAATGCTTATTTTTTGTTGATCAATTTTCTCAAATTAAATTTTTATATTTTTTAAAAAATTTTGAAAACTAGGTTTAATAAATTATAATGTAAGGTTTAAACAAAGAGATTAAGAAATGTGGCAACTTAGTAAAGTGGATAAGTTGTTATCCCTCCAAGTGCTAGGTTGTAAATTCAAAACCTACTAATGACAAAATTTGGATAATATATAGATAATATTATGAAGATAGTATTCTGTTGATTAGTTGAAATAGGATGCCTGTAACTATAGTTATACAAGCATGACTGGCAGGTCTAAGACATTTGTGTAACCTGTTATATAGAGAAATGCAAACCAGTACCAGGTGGTGCAAACCTAAAATAAGTCCTTGGGCTGTATAAATCTGTAAAACTAGAAAGCTGAAGCTTATTTAAAAATTCCAAGCAGAAAGGTAACATGAATCTTCAACAATACTACTGTAAAGGCTAAATCTAGGAAATGGATAACAATATGAAGGAATTGGGTGAGCAAAAACCTCAAATGAGAGGTACTACCAACTAGGTTGCCAGATTTTAGACTAGAAAAAAAGGATATTGGACTGGCCTCAATATATCAAAAACAGATCATAGTCCTTCTGAGCTATCTGGATTAGGGGTCTGAGTTCAAAGCAGAGTTATATTAAAAGTACTAAGAATATGCTGTAAAGTCAGTGCCAGGGTCTGGGTAAACTCTGTAAGGATAGCTCTTGTTAGTATTTTAAAAGTGAATAAATAGTTAACAATAAGAGGCCCTCTGTGTCTTACTGTCAGATAACATATTCTGAAATATGTAATGACCTAGGAATCAGTACAAAAAGGGTAGATACTATACTGCTCAGATAGTATACTTGTTAGATATATATGGGAGGTTAATTGAGGTTATATCATAACAGAGCAGATGATTACAAGATTTAAATAGATAATCTTTTAGTAGGTTATAGATATAGCATCTAGTATAGAACCTTAGAGTAGACTACTTAAATAAGCAACCAAAAGTTGTATATATAACTAGTTGTACTTTTATTTCTGAAAATTATTTGTAATAATTAACCTAATAAAAGTCAATAAAGTATTACTACAAAGTATGACTTTTAATAAAAAAAAAAAAAAAACAAAGAGATTTTGAGATTATCTTAAATTTTAAGATAAGGATATTTAGTATAATTTTGATATTAAATTTATTGTAATTTTAAATATCAAAAAGTAACTCATCTGCATTATAATTAATATTAAAATTTAGAATAAAGTATAAAGGCTTGATGTCATGTTTTTCATAAATTTTTCAAAGTTAATAGTTTTGTAAGTATAGTTTAAATATAGTGTAATGATACTAATCGGAACTACTCTAGAATTCCCTATTCATAGGGTAGCCATTAGATAGGTCGTGTAACGTTGAACGTTACTACACTCGAAAGAGGCGTTGGATTTGGCGAGTGTAAGGTGGGTATTTATTATTATGACTTATTCTATTCTATCCTATGTTCTGTCTCTTGTATTTACATTTTAAGCGCATTACTTATATACTTTTTCCCTATCTGCTAAATACACTATTTATACTCTATATACTATATATGCTATATCTACTTTATGCGCTATATCTACTTTATGCACTATATCTGCTATATACGCTATATACGCTATATACGCTATATTTACTAATTATGCTATATACCTTATATCTGCTAATTACGCTACATATATGCTATACTACTGTTTAATTATGTAATCGTCTTTAATAAATTATCAACGATTCTACTTTAGATTGTGACAATAGATAAAGACATATTATATTAATAATAATTTTTTTTGTTATTGGCTGAGTATAGTAGAATAGAATAATGTAATTAAAAAATATATAAATAGTTTAGTTAAATAAATAGTATATTGTAAATTTAGCAAATAAGTCTTAACTAGTATTTTAAAAAAAATAGAATTTAATTGATCAAATTTAGTATTAACTTTAAGAATAAAATTAGTTAGAAATTTTGGTTTGTCACTAGTTATTTTGTTAAGAATATAATTAAATAAGTATTTAGCAAGAGGTCTATTATTAGGTTTTGTATTTATTGATTTAATTGGTATTACTTGTCCTAGATTGAAGTTTATAAAATATAATATTAGAAGTGAAAAACTTGTAAACTAATTGTATACTTAATTTACTATGTTTTAGCATTTCAAAAATAATAAAACAGTTTAAGAATTAGTTAAAGTTATTTGCTATATTACATTTTTGTAAAGTATCTTTTTCTTTACCTTTTGTTTATTTTTTTGTTTTAGATTATTATTGCTTAGATGTTTTGTATTTGGTTTTTTTTTAGTTTGATTATTATTTTTGGATTCATTATTGGTTTTAGTTTTTTTAGCCAATTTTATAAAAAATTTTTTCAAAAATATATGTTTTTCTTTAATAGTTAGTTGTTAGCACCTAATTTTGCAATATAAATTGCATTGTTCTCAGTTTATGAATTTTGAAAAAACTGGATATTTAAGTTTAAAAGTATAAATACAATAACAGTAAGCAAAAAAACTTCTTTTACTAGTTGTAAAAGTTAAGGCTTGTGAATCTAAAAAGTGTTTGTTATTTTTAAAAATAATACAAAGCATATTCTTAGTTTTGTATATAATGCATATATGTATATAATGTAAAAATAAAATAAAAAAGATAAATTAAATAGAGATTTTTCTAATATTATTACAAAAAATAGAAAATGTATAAGTAATCTTATGTTTGGGTTAGAATTTGTATCTTAAAAGACTTTTAAGAGATTTGAATAATTTAATATTAAAATTGATTTTTATAGAATTAAAAGAATCTAAAATGTTTTTTAAAATAGCTTAAGAAGATAGTAAAATAGTAATATGTTATAAAGCAAAGTAGATATGATATTTTTTACAGAAACAATTAGTAATAGTTGGTTCAATAGGCTTTGCAAAGAAATAAAATTTATTTTATAAATTATATGCTATATAATTGAAGTTATTTTTAAAAGTTCAAATATTATTATAATAAGTAACAAAACTAAATTTGTTACTATATTTGGAGAAAAAATTATCAAGGTCAAAGAATTTAGGTTTGATATTAATAATAATTAGTATTTTATATAGCTGTCTTTTAAAATAGTATTTATAAAGTTTAGATAATACAAACTATTTGTATAATATTGTTTTTTAGAAAAATTTTTAATTATATAGATTTCTAAATTATTTAGAAATAATTTAAGAAGTGTAATATATTTGTATAAGCTAATTAAACATTTAGAAAATATTAATAAATACCTAAAAATTAAAATTTTTAAAGCAATCTAATAAATTTTTCCAAATGCCAATGAAAAAAATTGT